CTCTCAGGCATCCCCCTGCTCTGGCAGGGGCTCCTCCAGGAGCTGCAGGTRRATCTCTGCATTCCTGGRGTTCTCCATGGGCTGCACCAGGGGCTGCAGGGGAATCTCAGCTCCRGMRCCTGGAGCATCCCCTGCCCCTCCTTCTGCACTGACCYTGGTGTCTGCAGAGCCGCCCCTCTCAAKTATTTTCACCCCGCTCTACTCTGGCCACAATGACACCTGTGCGATCAGGGTTTTTTTTTTCTTGACTAAATTATCACAGAGGTGTTACCACCATTTGTCCTTGGCAGCCTTGACCAGCAGCAYGGCCATCCTGGAGCCACCTGGTGTTGGCTCTGCTGGACATGGAGGAAGCTTCTGGCAGCTGCTCACAGAAGCCACCCTTGCAGTTCCCCTGCTACCACAGCTTGGCCATGCAAACCCAGTATACTTTTAAAAAGTATGCTTTGCTTTCCCATAGCTTTGATCTCTTCCCACAACAAAAAATTAAATGGCAGAGCATTTATTTTGGTAGTAAAATATTAAGTATAATGAAGTTCACAAAGCAAAATTTTACAAAAGAGTCTCCTCTGATTAATACAGGAAATACTAACATTTAAAAACTAAACCAGCAAATTTTGGAGTTTGTATTAAGACAACAAATCGACTTCAACAGTGTCGACTTCAACATTTGTGAATGTTTTTGTATAGGCACAGCTATGTTTCTAATGTCTGCACACCTACATTTCCTGAAAAAACCAAAATATACTCTTTTATCCACTTCTCTGGAAAAAGCCTTTAACCTTGAAAGGGTAATAAAATAAATTCTTTATTGTTTTAGTGCAAATATTCTCCTGCTCCCATTTTCTAAGCTAGGTATCATCTGTGTGTGTGCTTGTATGTACAAATTCAAGCATGTGTATGAAARGAGAAAGAAACAGGCAGGCTTGTAATATACCTTCCAATTCAGCAGTTTGCATCTGTTTTCATGCATGYTGATTTTATTCAAATCTTTTGCACAATTTGCAATTTTCCTGTTGTGAGTCAAGTCAGATCTGAATGAAACTTCTTGGCAATTATGCAATGTAGCACCCCAAAATAATGAGTTTGACTTAAAATCATCTTACTGAAAACATGCTGCATTGTCTTTAACTGCTGTCTCTCTGCATGATTTTTTTATATTTTGTAGATTTTTGTGACATTTTTCAAATAATCACCTTATTTGAAATKATAGGATTTAGAGTAATCCAGAAAAACAAAAACTGTCATCACTAAAATAGCTACTTGACAGGTAGCTTCCATTTGCTTTATTTCAGAAACAGCAAAAACAAACCCTCTTGCACAATCAGAGATGCAGCGAAACTGAAAAAATACAAACAGAAGGGAAAAATGCACATAAGCTTTCAACTAGCAACAAACTGAACAAGATATCAACTCCTAAAGAAGCTGGGTTTTTAAAGCTATTAAATCTGATCATCCCTTGAAATAAAGCATTAGATGAAGCTATCACAAATTGACTTAGCTCAACTTAGGTACAAAATAATTAATTTAATTTTTCCTAATCCTTCCCCAAATTTTATGCACACATTTACATTCAGTACAGCAATACCATAAGAAAATATAATTCAGTGAAGGGCATTTGTTAATTCTAAAAAATAATTAACATTAATAGTTCCTTTGCTGTCTGAATATATTCTCATATATGTTTCTTGAGAACTCCAGAAATCATATATGTAACTGTCTATGTTAAGATAAGGTGCTCAGGAAGTYATATATTGTGTACAAGGCTTATTATGTCCGACTGACAAGGATTTTTAAGTTTGAAAAGTGCAGCTTGTAGGTAAAGAGAAACACTCTAAAAAGCAAGTTCTAGTTTACTTATCTCTGTAATTTCCCATATATAACCCCTTTACATTATCATACTGCTATGCCATTTGTTTTATATTTACATTAACTTGCATGTCCACTTTTTAATCCCCACTTTTGTACCATATTAATGAAGAAGAACCATGAGAAGCAGTGGTAGGTGTGGTAACAAGTTTGTATTCACTATTATCCATACTAGCAAATACTTGTCAGGACTGCTGCTGTTATTTGCTGCTTCCTGTCAACTCCTATGGAGCCTGCAGCACTCCACCACCAAAGAGTGCAGCTCATCTGTGTGGCTTTGCTTTCTTTGATTGTCTTTAGCCTCAAGCAGACTCATACCTCTCACAGAGTCAGCATACTCTGCATGCTCCTAAGTTTGYATGGTGTCACGTTCCACTGTGGACAACTGCGAATTCTTTTAGAATTAGGTGTCAGAAATGAAATTAGGCCAAACAAGACAAACCTTAATGAGACAAAATGGTATCTGAGAACCATTTATTTGCAATGATAAAAAAAAAAAAAAAAAAAAAAAAAAAAAAAAAAAAAAAAAAAAAAAAAAAAAAAAAAAAAAAAACCCCTCA